ATGTAAACATGTGTGGTTAGTGAAAAGGTCTTAAAAGATTTGAATTTAATTTGTATTATTTTTAATTAAAAATAGGATAGTTTAGGTATTATCAAAAGCTCAAGTTTAATATTATATACTAAATTCTTATTAATAGCCTTATGTCTTTCATTGTTTAAAAGTATCGCAATAATAAATTTAATGCAATTTATATCACCAATTCAAAACTAAAAGAATTTACAAATTTTAGATAATAAATGTACATATATTGCCACATTCGAAAATTAAAATAATGGTAAGATATGCATTGCCATTCTAGAGGCCGTTCCGTAATTATTGAATTAAAAAAATTAAATAATCTATCTGTTTCTAAAAAAAAGTAAATAATCTTAAAAAATGATATTGACAAAGAATAAAATTTAGTATAAAATGTTGAAGTACTTATACTTTATTTCCTTTCAAAAATTTATATTTATTTAAGAAAAAACCAATAAATAAAAAAAAACTAAAATAAGATTAAACGTTGAAGAAAACAAAATGGAAGACAGTGAGTGGAAGGGAAAAAAAAAGGCAAACTTTGGAGGTTACAGCAGAAATTGCTTACCGCAAGTGTACTGGTCAAGTTTTAATATGGATGGTATGTGAATACGGATATCGTCCTCTGGATTGGGTTTCTAGCTCACTCAAGTTACCACATATACAATCACTCAATCCGAATGAAAAAATAGAATCAAAGAAAATAAACACACCCTAATAAAGATAAAAACAATGGGGAAAGGTCCTAGAGAATTGATTTCACCTAACAAATCCATGAACCAACTACTTAAATACTAACTGAACGAATTATTAATTCTATAGGCCAAGAACTCTCCCGAGCTAAAGCTAATTCTTCTTATCAATTAAGAAACCAATATCTCTATCTAGTTTCTATAACAAGTAAATACTTTATTGAATAAGTCTTCTAACGACCTTTTAAAGGACTTCTAAATCTCATGAACTTAAAACCCCTTTAGTTATACATTTCAGTTCTAACTCTAAACCACGTCTCCCGAACGTAAGATTTCAAGTCTAAAATCAATCAATCTATGACTAGTAGATTCAAGACATTAAGTAGAGAGAAGAATAAATAGAATATTCATAAACATTCAATCAAGAAAAATAAACAATCAAAACATAAAATTCAATGGCTACATCAATCCCTAAAATAAGAGGTTTAGCTTCTTATATTCAATGTAAAACAATAAAATCACAATGAGAATTCCAGAACAAAACTAGAAAAATCAGTGGAAATGAGAAGAAACTATGTTCGGCGTATCAATCATCTGTCCCCAAAGCGACCTCCACGATCCCGAGCCTTGAAAATTACTTTTCTAAACTCTCCAATGGTCTCTTTGCCCTCCAAATTGGCCAAAAATCAGAACTGCAAAAAAATCTCTCCCAAATTCCTCTCTCTCGATGGCTACAAAACCCTATTTTTTTAAAAAAATCGTCGCGGCAGCACCGTAGCGCTATACACGAGGTCATGGCACTACACTATTCAAAAAACGCGAAATTTAAACCTCGGAGCGCTACGACGCTCTGTGGCAACGCGGTGGCGTTGTCTCCTCCGGTTTTTGGGCTTGATTAAGTATTGTAATGTCTTCTATTCGCTCGGGCTATGATTTTCCTCTCAATTTGATCAATTTATGTCTCGTTTCCTCTCGATTATTCATTCCTGCAAAATATATCTTATGTGCGTAAATAATGTGATATTAAAACGAAAACTAACAATTAATTCAAATATAAGTCTAATGAATTGTAGCTCACAAGATGCGTTATCACAGAGAAGATACGTTCATATTTCTATCCTAACCAAATAGTATTTGGGCTACGTAAGACATGACTAATGTTACAGAAAGATCAAAACCAAAGCCCGACGAAATGACAAAGGCCCAAATTGAGCTAGATGTGGAAAGGCCCAAGTATTTTAAGAGAATAATAATAAATAAATAAATAAGTATTTTAAGAGAAGAAAAAAATCAAACCCTAACTCTCTCTCTCTCCTCATTCTCCTCGTTCATTTTCCTTTTCCTTGGACCAAGAAATTGCCACCACATTTGGAACGAAATAGACAACGCTCGTGTGTTTGCTTTCCTCTACAACTACAACGTTGACTAAAGTTTCGGCCATTTACCGCTACGCCGTGCGATCCATCTACTAAAGGAAGCAGATTATCTTTGTCGTGTCGTCCACCTGCGGACAAGCTTCATGCTAAAAAGGAGAATCTCCCTAATTATTCCTCAAACAATAGTGCTTTTGTTATGCCTTGTATATTTTTCTTCCAATATATTTTGCATTGTCCTCCTTGTTACCAGACACTCTTCTTTTCAAAGACTTATTTTATCATCTATATATATTATGTAAAGCATTGGAAATGGGAAGAGGAAAGATTTATCAAAATTTCATGGATGGAAAGTTAAAAGCATTGAATAATAGGATGAATGATCCATTCATTACAGCTGCTAGATTCATGAATGAGTTGTTCTGTGATGTGTTTTAATCTTGAAATTACGGTTGAAGAAGACAAAAAGTCTTCTATTGTCGTTTACTATTTAAAAAATTACTAAAATTGATAATTAATAGATTAGCGTATATTTAATTCCTAGCAAAGGACAAATTTCTCATAAAAAAAGTTACAATGATAAAAACTTCACACTTTAAATTATTATTTTCTAACTTTTTGACATTATTAAATAATAAATGATTACGTGGGTTAAGAAATTTGGATGGATGGGGATGAAAGGAGTAAAAAGAAAATTAAAAAAGATAAAAATAATGAAAGAATTAAGAGAGAAAAATGATAGAGTATTTGAGAGGGAAAAAATAGATAATGAAAGCGTTAAAAGAGAGAAAAATGGTAGAGTTTTCGAGAGAGAAAAAAACAAATAGATTTTGTAACCGTGGAAAGACAGTATTTGAAAAGTGAGAAAAGATTAGTAAGAGAAAAAGAGGGGTGAAATCGCGAGGGAGAGGAGAGAAATTGGAAGAGAAAAAATTTGTATTTAAATGACACAATTGTCCTCGAAGGAATAGTAAAAATAATTATACTAAGAAGTAAAAATGACACAAAATTTCTCTCTAGAGACTTTTATATATACTACAGATTATTTATTAACTTAGTTTAAAAATATAAATCTCACACACATTCTTTTAGTTCTAAAAAACCGTCCCTTTTAAAAGACCATTATACTACGACAAATTAAGGATATGGAGGTTCGAACTTTGGACTTCGAAAAAAGGAGTAAAGTTAGTCATGCTGATGTTGGCAACTACACTCTATATTCCTTCCTCTCTCTCTCAAATCAATTTAACTTATATCTTCCTTTTTGTATTTCTATTTAATACGTGGAATAGAATTTGAATACACTGACCTTTTAATTGAAAAAATATATGTTTTAATCAGTTGAGCTATATTCAGACTAACTTTACTGTTTTTACTTGAGTACCCTCTATAATCTCTCCAAAAAAAATCACTTATTAATTTAAACAAAGAAAATTATAAAAATTCACTAATTTAATATAAACAAAAATTTTCAAATTAATTTTGATTTAGGTACAAAATCCACCCTTAAATAAATGTAAGAGAGAAAAAAAATTTAACTTTAATGGTAATTGTTGTTTAAATCATATCAATTTCATAGCAAATATATATTTTCTAACACACATTTTTCAACAAATTTTTAAATAAAAATTTATCAAATAGTAAAATTTGCGATATTTAAAAAGATAGAAACTCCAGCGGTTATCCAAAGTATAAATTGATATATATTGTTAAATTTACGCTTAAAATTGATATTTTTGAATTATATTTATATACATTTCAACCCCTCCCACGTCAAATCTTGGATCGTCCATTTCCATGAGTATTGTGCATGTGATATTAAGAAAATACATCAAATTAATAAAATACCCATATTGCTCCTCAATTATGGCAACAAAAGCTGATAGTGGAATATGGCACTCAAAAAAGAGAGTCAACAGGCTGATGACACCTGTCCATTATTAGGTTGACAACCCTTTTTTAATAAAGAGGATAAATTTCAAAATTTTCCAAAATCTCTCCAATATAGTATATACCACCCTAAATAACAAATTCTTTTTTTCTTTTTCCTTTTAGAAAATTGTTGAAGCTATGGTATGCTATCTCCAGAGTATTATTTCTGGGTTAATTTAAGAAATAATGTAATTAAAAAAAAATTAGAATCAAACTATTGACAAAAATATAGGAGTTTTTTTTTGTCAAACTAAAAAATAACGCTAACGTATGCATACAAAATAACATAAAAAAAGAACATTTTTTTTTATAATATGGCAAACAAAATAGTGTAAAAGTAACCAGAAAAAAAGGTTAAAAAAATATAAATATTGAACAAGGAAACAAGAAAGAGATGGGTACACCAAACATAGATACATTATAATTTACTTATTAATACTATAACGTTAACATTTATGAATCTATTGGACACAAAATTAAAAATTCTTATATTTATATTATACTTTTTAAAGTTTAGAAACTTGTTAAGATGAACTTAGTTGAGCGATAACTGATACCAGTCTTGCATCAAGAGGTCATGAGTTCGAATCTCCTACTTTACTTATTCTATTCAAATAGAAAAAAAACAAATTTAAGAATCTATTAGACACAGAGTTCCGATTTTGCAATGTTATTTTTTGGGCCATGGAAAAATGAGTTGGCATTTTTTCCCAAGTTCAAACTTCAAATGCAGAGATTCCCATGCTTGAAAAAAGGTCATCCATTTGCAAGCGAAAATACCTGTTTTTGGAAGGTGCCATGGACAAAGGTAAAGAGGCTGATCTGGCAGTTGCAAATCCTCAATTGTTACCTTACCATATCATCTCCTTTGGTCCAGTGAATGTTGTTAATTGGTTTTGATTTCCTTTCCATAATTATCCTTTTTTCTTCTCCATAAGACCAAGATATTCCTCCATTTTTGCCTTCTTTGTTCTCTTGAAATGGAAGAATCATTCTTCAATCTGAGCCCAAACTTCAGCACTCACCATTTCCTCTTGCCATTATAAAACAGAAGAATCATTCATACAACTCAAAAGCAAAAGCCATGGAGGGTTTCAACCATTCTTCATTGCTTCTGTTGTTCTTCCTTTTTGCTGTGTTGCAAACATCCACCTTTGCCACCAAGAAGGTAAGCCGATATCGTGTGTCCTAAATGCGTTTTTCCTTGTGAAGCACTGAAATTTCTTCTCCATCTTGTGCAGTCATACATTTTTTACTTGGGATCACATTCACATGGCCTGAATCCTTCTGCAATTGATCTCCAACTTGCGACGGAATCTCACTACAATTTACTCGGCTCGTTATTGGGGAGGTGAAGAAGAAAACTTCTGATATATACCTTATCGTTGAGACTGTAGTTTCAAGTTGACTTTTGCTCTTGTTTTTGTCTTTATTTTACAGCAATGTGGCAGCCAAGGATGCAATTTTCTACTCCTACAACAAATATATCAATGGCTTTGCAGCCATACTTGATGAGAAAGTTGCACAAGAGCTAGCAAGTAAGCAAATTTTGTCGTGTTTTTTCTTCTTCGTTGCTGTTGATATCCAAAGTTTCTAACTTACAAATCATGGCAGAACATCCCAGCGTGGTGTCGGTCCACGAGAACAAGGCAAGAAAACTGCACACAACAGGTTCATGGAGCTTTCTTGGACTGGAAAATGATGGTGAAATTCCCTCAAACTCTATTTGGAACCTTGCAAGTTTTGGTGAATCCACAATCATTGGCAACCTTGACACAGGTTCGTCCTGTTTCGTTTCTAAGTTTTTGAAGATTTTGCAATTTGGGTAATGATTTTTATGAGTCCGTTTTTTGTAATTAGGCGTTTGGCCAGAATCAAAGAGCTTCAGCGACAAAGGATATGGACCTATCCCATCGAGGTGGAGGGGAAGTTGTGAGGGTGGCTCCAAATTTCGTTGCAACAGGTACAGTACATCAAATCTAGCTTCATTATCTCTCTCTCTTTCTTGGTTTTAAAACACCTTCGTCCGAGTAACAATTTAATCATTGTAGTTTGAAATTGATAACAAAATTAAAAATTTAGTCATTGTAATTTGAAATTGATAACAATATAATTTAGTTTTTTAGTTTAGAGTTTGTAATGATTACTGCCTAATTACGAAAATGTTTTGTTAAGATTATTTAATAAGATTTCTTATATACGTAGATGATGGAGAACTAAATATATTTATAAATTAAATGACAAAAACTAAATCATTATATGATAAAATTCGACTCTTTTTACAATAGACTACATTGTTACAAATTTTAAATTATAAAGACTAAAGTATTACATATTAAAGTTGAGAGAGTACATAATTACTAATTTAATTTGAAGGTGTAGAGACTAAATCATTACACATAAAGTTTATGGAATAAATCATTACTTCAATAAAGTACAGTGACCAAATGTATTTTTTAAACTAAAAGTAGTAGTTGAAAGTTTGAAGCTTTAGACATAGGAAGTGTTAGAAATTAGTGTAAACCGTGGTAGTTTCATGGCCAGTGTTTTCACGCTTTAAGAGTTAATAGTTGGTGGTTAATTTTCATTGTTTAGTTAATTAAGAAGTGGATGTAAGTTGCAGAGTCTGTCGACCCGATGGCTGAGTGAATTGTAGTGTTCGTTAGAGAGAATGTTAAGTAGTGGTCCAATTCTAATTTCGGTGAATAGAGGTTCTTTTTCCATATAATTTCTCTCTTGCTCACATTCCACTCTATTGGTCCCTTTTGTTTGTTTGTTAGGAAGCTGATTGGAGCGAGGTATTTCAACAAAGGCTATGTAGCCTCTATAGGACCTCTCAATGCCAGCTACGAAACGGCAAGGGACGATGAAGGCCATGGAACGCACACTCTATCCACTGCTGGAGGCAATTTCGTTTCTGGAGCGAGCGTTTTTGGGAATGGCAACGGAACTGCAAAAGGAGGTTCCCCCAGAGCCCGTGTTGCTGCCTATAGGGTATGCTGGCCTGCTGTGCTCACTGGTGGGTGTTTTATGGCGGACATCCTTGCTGGCTTCGAAGCTGCCATCCATGACGGAGTTGACGTTCTCTCGGTTTCACTCGGTGGAAGTCCCGAAGAATTCTCCGACGACGGACTGGCTATCGGAGCATTCCATGCAGTTCAGCATGGCATCACCGTCGTCTGCTCTGCGGGAAATTCAGGGCCAGGTCGAGGAACTGTTTCAAATGTGGCGCCATGGATGATAACTGTGGGAGCTAGCACAGCCGACAGGCTTTTCGCCAGCTATGTGGGCCTTGGAAATAGGAAGCATATCAAGGTACTCGTATTTTCTATTTTAGTGATCTCCACGGAGATATTATCCCTCACTTATGTACTCACGATGTTCTCCTTGTCTAACTAGGATTTTAATTGTGTTCCTAATGTATGATCTTTCAATTGTCAATCCCAGGGAGCAAGTCTTTCCGACAAAATACTACCGGCTCAAAAGTTCTACCCATTAATTAGCACGGCAGATGCGAAAGCCAGCAATGTCTCCCTTGAATATGCGTGAGTATATTTTCACCATTGTCTACTAATAGACTCAAGACATATTTGGAACTGGCTTTTTCATTGTTAAAATCACTTTTTCCATTCTCTAAATGACTTGGTATATCACTGCAAACCATTACTATTATAAATGAAAGTGATTTTGGCAACCACATAAAATGACAAGCTAAAATCACTTCTAAACACGTCGTTAAAGAGACAATAATGACACTTGCTAGATGATGGGTCATTGCAGGCAACTGTGTGAGGAGGGGTCTCTTGATCCCAAAAAGGTAGAAGGGAAGATTGTGGTTTGCCTTCGAGGGGACAATGCGAGGGTGGACAAGGGCTATGTGGCTGCTCAAGCAGGTGCTGTGGGGATGATTCTGGCCAACGCTCAGGATAATGGGGATGAACTTTTAGCTGATGCACATTTGCTCCCTGCTTCCCATGTCAGCTATGCTGATGGTGAACTAATCTTCCAGTACATCAAATCTACCAAGTAATTACTCCACCAATCCCATCAATTCTCAACTCCCGAATGCTCGATTAACATTTTTCAATTTAGTCTCTTCCGGTTGGTAAGTGTTAAAATCGGCTGATGATAAACGGGTGAATTAGCAGACATTTTGAAGAGGAATACGATAGAAAAGTTTCTCATTCCTCCTCTACTTCTTCTCAAAAAAAAAAAAAAACTGTTTTGCAATCAGTAAGTTTATCATCTGCCAATTTTAACATGTAATAAGGATGGTGAGAGATTAAATTGAAAAATATTCAAACATAAAGGTCTAATAGCTTTCTTAAAATTAGTTTGGTCCTGCAACTTATATGTGACATGGTGTACTTGAATCAGAATTCCAATGGCTTACATGACTCACGTAAAGACAGAACTTGGAGTAAAACCAGCACCATTTATGGCTTCATTCTCATCCAGAGGTCCCAACACAATCGAGGAGTCAATACTCAAGGTTTGAGTCATATCTTAGAGGTGTTCAATTTTTTCCACGGGACGTGAAATCTCAGTTTAGGCTTCCCACAGGACTCGTCCCTGCCACCTAAACGAGGACGTTGCCATCTCATCTCGTGAACACTCCTAGTTATACAAACATTCAGTTGTGTGTTTTTTTGGCAGCCTGATATTATAGCACCAGGTGTCAGCATAATTGCTGCTTACTCTGAAGAAGCATCACCAAGTGGCTCATCATTTGATAAACGTCGGAGCCCATTTAATGCAGAATCTGGGACCTCCATGTCTTGTCCTCACGTTTCTGGTATCGTTGGCCTTCTCAAGACCCGTTATCCAAAGTGGAGTCCAGCAGCTATCAAATCTGCACTCATGACCACAGGTAATACATTCAAATTACTAAATCATTAAATCTATTTTTCTAATTTTGTACTTGTTCCGTGACAATTTCTTTAGAAATACATTTAAGAATTTCAAAATCAAAAGCAAGTTTTTTTTTTAAAGTATTTTATTTTAATTTTTTAAATTCTTAAAAGTTGGCTTAGATTTAAAAAACGCTTTCAAAAAGAGGTAACAAAAAAAGAAAATAAACATGTTGCTTTTCTTTTTCTTTTCAACTAATGTAAACATGATAGTTAAATGTTATTTGATACGTGAAATTTGATTTGCTGATGCAAAATCTAACCCAATTATTAATAAAAAGTTCATTTTTTTCAAGCGACATGTCTATATATCTAAATATATTAATAAAACAATAATTTAATGACACATTATCTTTATGTTAACAAAATATAAAGAACTTAATTGACAATTTTTAATACATTTAGGATAAAATTGAGGAAAACCTTAAATAATAGAACCACATAATATATATTTAGTCAAAAAAAAAAAAAACAATCACTTGTATTTCCAAAACATTAATAATAGATTTTTAGCTATAGGTGCTTAAGAATATTTACATGCTTACCAATGACACGAACCACCCTTAAGCTTTTGTCAACTTGAACATAGCGTAAAAGGCACCTATCTACGAACAAGTCAATATTTTCAACACGATAGTGAATCTACGGTTTCAATATTCCTAATATGAACATAATATTAAAACTTTGTTAATCCCCAAATGGTTTTTGTTTGAACTCTGTTTTGCAGCTGCAACCAAAGCCAACGACTTACATCCAATACTAAACACAACCCAGCTGAAAGCCAACCCATTATCCTACGGCGCGGGCCACGTCCGCCCAAACAAGGCCCTGAACCCGGGCCTCGTCTACGACCTCACCCTCAAGGACTACTTGAACTTCCTCTGCGCTCGAGGCTACAACCAAACCCAAATCAAGAAATTCTCCAGCGCCCCATTCGCATGCTCACACTCCTTCAAACTAACAGATTTCAACTACCCATCAATCTCCATCCCTAATCTCAAATTTGGCCCCGTGAAGGCCAAGAGAAGGGTCAAGAATGTGGGGAGCCCAGGCACGTACGTGGCCCAGGTCAAGGCACCCCCGGGAGTTGCGGTTTCGGTGGAGCCAAATATGCTGAAGTTTACTGGAATTGGCGAGGAGCAGAGTTTCAGAGTGGTGGTGCGGCGAGTGGAGAATGAAGAGCGACGGGGGTATGTGTTTGGGTGGCTCGCATGGTCGGATGGGAACCACCGTGTTAGAAGTCCCATTGCGGTGAACTTGGGGTGATTTGTAAGAGCAAATAAACACAGGTTGTTGTTTATGTCTTGTTGAGTTTCTTGTCTCACATTCTTTTCCAAAATTCTTTGTCTGCCTACAGTTGTCGATTTGTTCAATGATAATGGATTTTTTTCTTGGAAAAGGGCTACATCCACACTGATGAAAAATGACCATCCGAAAATTATGGAAAGGGTAAATTTACATATTAACCCCCACCCACATCTGATGTCCCTAGATTTACGGGACTATCTTCCATCATTTGTCAATTTTACCCGCTTATTTAAGGAGCCACAAATTTTGGTTAGTTGTGAATCCCTAAAATACCTACCTACATAAATGGTAAGCAAACTAATTTGAATATTTTTCAAACTAATTAAATTACAAAATAAATTTAACTAATTCTTTATCAACTCAACAATCTCAAGTTCCACGAAATATGGACGGATCAACAAATCGAACAGAGAATGACTTGTAGAGATTGAGCTTCCGATTCCATGATCGAAATTCATCTGGTAAGCATTCGAATTAGAAGAAGAATTTAGTTCAACAATAGAAGAATTGAAGAATTTCTTCTTCTCCTTGATGGTTTTCTACCACAAAATATGTCATCCAAACCGGTTTGTTGTCACATTCGTCCGAAATGAAACTCTGTCCTAGCTTGATTCTTTGGTTGTATGAATTGCATCATTTGATTTCCATTTTAATTTGCGCATTTGAGCCCTAATTTGCAAAAATTAGAAGCAAACATTGGAGGAATTGATATTTAAGGTAATATAATTGTTGAGAGTTGAGAGTTGAGAGAAAGAAGTAAAAGATGGAAAAGATGATTGGAAAGGACAATGAGAATTATAAGTAAAATAGTTGCCAAAAGAGAAAGTTATGTTTTTCAGACGGGAAGAAGTCAAAGTGTGACAACCTTTAAATTTGACAGGGACACTGTAATGGGAAGCACATACCCGTTCTACATGCACCAACAGATGTGTTCTTCGGAAAATGAAAGAATGAGAAAATTCGTATAGAGAAAGGGAAATGGAGATAGTTCTATATATATAGTCGAAATGACATGATGTATATGCCCTAGAGCCTTAAAGCTACTATATAGTTATGGATACTGACCACGTACATAGTTCTATATACCAAGACATGCAAACGCACTATTGCAAACTCATTAATGACTTTATAATGGGGAGCATATACTCGTGCTAGGTGCACCAACAAATGTCTTCGACATAAGACATGACATGATTATTTAGTCTCCCAATATACTTACTCCTTCTACATTTCAAAGACCTTCAAACTTCATCCAAATTAAATCTTCATTAAGATTATAGTTCATCTTTTAAGTTTTGTATTTTTTTTCTTTTTTCTTTTTATGAATTTAGTGTTGGGTTTGGTGCCTTTAGCTCGTGTATTTGTAATTAATGAACAAATTATTTATTTATCCAATAAAGAGTTATTTTTTTTGCATTACTCGTATTCCAATAAACTAAGATCGAATATTATTTAATGTAACTGGAACAGTATGTAAATGACATATGGTATATATTTAATATATAGTATATATATTTGATATATAATATATAATAAATATACAGTATATAATCGATATACAAGTGGATAATGTTTCAGTAATAACCTAAATGGTTTATAGTACATGGATAAGGTTGGGTACCTTATCCTAGCAACACTATGGATACGACATGCTTTGTAATGGTTAAAAACGACTCTATCCAGGTCGTTCATGTGGAGACCTACGAGTCGAGGTATCCTATACGATGAGTTTGTATAAGACTGGACTGCGAAATAATTAGGGTGCATTTGGTTGGTAATCAGAAAATAGAAATTTGAAAACAAGGGATTCAATGAAAACCAGAGTTGTATTCTTTGTTTTCAGTGTTTTCAGATATGTGTTTGGTAGCAGATTTGGTAATTGAATCTCAATTTAAAAAATTGTTCAATGTGTGTTTAGTATATATTTGTAAACTAGAAGTAGTTACAAACTAAATTTTAGTTTAATCTAAACTTATATTAATATTTTTTTATGAATTTTGTATAATTGTTATTTTACAAGGTTATATAATTTAGAATACATTATATTTTACATGTTTTAATTTTAACAAACATAAAATGAGTTTATAATATGAAGTAATATATTTATCAAAGTTGTTATCATTTTTAATGTAATTCTGCATCTTCAAAATTTCAAATTCTGAATCTGAAAACACTGAAAACATAAAAAAACCTTTTTCAAAATTTCTACTGTTTGAATCACAAATCCGAAAACAGTTTTCAAAAACAAATATCAAAAATCTTGCCAAACGCATATTCGTTGGATCCATTTGATTTAGTGAATCTGAAAACAAAAAACAGAATCCGAGTTTCCAACCAAACAAGCCCTTAATCTTTAGTTATAACACTATAAACTAACTAGATTAATATTTTTATAGGATGACCAGGTAACTCGAAATAGGTAGATCCTATGCATGCGAATACATCAGGAAAATCAAAATTACCCAACATTCCTAATTGTTGCATGACCTCTTCAATCAAATTGACGAAAGATATATATTAGCGGATAAAACATTAGTTATGAGACTTTATAGTCTATGCAATTATATTTGTTGTTCCAAATACCACTATGAAGCATGCGCACGGAATAGAAGTGGTACCTATTTGACATTTATACCAAAATAATTTTATATTTATATTTGGACAAAGTAATTATTATGATAGATAGACATATATAACATAACCTAAAGTATTTTAACAACACATGGTAAGTATATTATAACCTAAAGTACAGGTATATGTTTATAATACTTTCTATTATGCAACAGAAATAATTGTTGATGTGTGGATTTTGGTCCTCCGGTTCTCCTCCTCGCACAAACCTAACTTGATTATTCGGGGGTTGATACCTGCAAAACCAAATCGAACTAAACCGGTGTAACTCTAGTCATACGGGCTTCGATGCCTAAGTTAGCAAGGGAAAGTTGAGAAGTAGTAAACTCCAGATGTCCCCTTACCTCTAGGGTTAGACCGCTATTTATAGCCGTGGAGATAATTCCATAACCTTCCGTAGCTAAACCCTAATTCATAGTTGCAGGACTTAAGGAAAATCGTTGATCACGGGCGGGAGACTCACAGGCTGGGCCGAGCCCGGCTCAGAGCCAGCAGGGGTCGGGACCGAGCCCTGCTCGGACTAGTTGGTTCTCTTTCGATCGCCAGGCAAGTAACTTATCTCTACCTCACTATTTTCTCAACTCTCCCTCGCTAACTTAAGCATCGGAGCCTAGGTCACACCGGTTTAGATCGGTTTGGTTTTGCAGGTATCGGTTCCCTTATTATTAAGTTAGGTGTGTGCGAGAAGAAGAACCGGAGGGTCAAAATCCACGCATCAACAAAATGTCACGAAGAATCCGATAATTACAAAGTGAATTATACTGCTTGTAAATAGCTCACTTACACTTAGATACATTACTCACTCGAGTTACCTCTTGTCCAGCAAGCAAAGATTTACCTATGTGGAAAGGATGATTCAATCAGATCTAGGTAGTTTCTTAGACCTCATTGTGAGTTACAACTCCTTTAGGCTAGGTAACTTCTCTCGATCTCACGATGGTTGAGCTAATAGGTATTTTGACGCACATAAACTTTGTGCTAGGTACGACTCCGCTAGTAGTAATGTAGTAGGAAAGTGGTATGTTATTTTTAATTCTAAAAGTTAATTTAAATTAAAAGCAAAAAGTTCCATTCAACATAATATATCAATTTCTAAACAAAAGAAAGAGCTATAAAGGGCAAAAGAAAAAATAAACCCTTTGGGTGTGTTGCCCCAAACTCGTAGTTTGTATTTTGTAAAAACAAATGTCTATTTAATAAAGTTTTATTCAATAAATTTGTTGTTAATTCATAGCTTTGCATTATCCAAAATCCAATAAACTAAACATCCAAGGTTATTTGTGATGTAATCGGGACAGTATATATACTGGGTATATAGTTGAT